AAGTTTCAGTGTCTCTTCTGACATCCTTTTGATCTTTTCCTTCTTTCTTGTCTTCTCAATGACTTTTTGCTGTCTTAATGTATGATGTTCTTGATGTCATCCCACAACTCTTCTGGTCTTTGGTCTTTAGTGTTTAATGAATCAAATTTGTTCTTCAGATGATCTCTAAATTCAGGTGGGATATATTCAAGGTCATATTTTGGCTCTTGTGAGCTTGTTTTCATTTTCTTCAGCTTCAGTTTGAGTTCCACAGTCTTCCCCTAGCCTTGTTTTCATTGATGATATGGATCTTTTCCATTGTCTCTTTCCACATATGTAGTCAATTTGATTTGTTTGTATTGCACCTGGTGAGGTCCATTGTGTATAATCGTTACTTATGCTGTCTAAAGAAGGTATTTGAAATGAACAGTTCATTGGTTTTGCAGAATTCTATCATGCGTTCTCTAGCATCATTTCTATCACCAACCCTGTATTTTCCAACCATTGATCCTTCCCCTTTGCTCCCAGCCTTTGCATTCCAATCACCAGTAATGATCAATACATCTTGATTGCATGTTTGATCAATTTCAGATTGAAGAAGTTGATAGAATTCTTCTATTTCATCCTCACTGTCTTTAGTGGTTGGTGCATAAATTTGAATAATAGTGGTATTAACTGGTCTTCCCTGTAGGTGCATGGATATTACCCTATCATAGACAGCATTGTACCTCATGACTGATCTGGATATGTTCTTTTTGACGATGAATGCAACACCATTCCTTTTCAATTTGCCATTCCCGACATAGTAAACCATGTGGTTGTCAGATTCAAAATGGCCAATACCAGTTCATTTCCGCTCACTAATGCCTAAGAATCGATGTTTATGTGTTCTATTTCATTTGTGACAATTTCCAATTTTCCCAGATTCATACTTCATGCATTCCATGTTCCAATTTTCGATATTTACAGATGTTTCTCTTCATTTTGAGTTGTGCCCCATCTGCAAATGAAGGTCCTGCGGGCTTTTCTCCCATTTGCATCATCACGGTCAACTTTTCTCCATTTGCATCATCACGGTCAACTCTGCTTTGAGGAGGCAGCTCTTCCCCATTCACATTTTGAGTGCCTTCCAACATGAGAAGCTCATTTTCCAGCACTACATCTGACAGTGTTTCTCTGCTATTCATAATGATTTCAGTGACTAAAGATTCAGAAGTAGTTCGTCACTCTTTCTTCCTAATCTGTCTTTGTATAAAAGCTCATCTGAAACCTGTCCACCATTGGAGACCCTGCTGGTTATTTAAAATACTGCTGGCATAGCCCTCAGAATCACAGCAACTCACAAGCCACCACAGTACCACAAACTGACAGACGAGTGGTGGCCGTTTGGGTTTTAAGTGGAAACTGAATAAGTATAGTGAAAGGATGCATCCTTGGTGCACACCTTTCCTGATATTAAACCATTCAGTATTCCCTTCTTCTGTCCCAACTTCCTCTTGGTCAATGCACAGACTCCTTATGAGGATAATTAAATATTCTGGAATAATTCTGGAAATATTCAAAGAATTCTGGGATAATTCTTTGTAATGTTATCCCTAATTTATAATTATCCACACAGACAAATGCCTTTGCATAGTTAAGAAAGCACAAGCAAACTTCTTTTTGACATTCTCTGCTTTCAGCCAAGATCCTTCAGATGACAATAATATCCTTCTTCCCATATCCTCTTTTGAGTCAGACTTGATTTTTTGCCAGTTCCATGTCAATGTACTACTGTCACTGTGTTTTAATTATCTTCAGAAAAAATTTACTTGCATGTGGTATTAATGATATTGTTCCATGATTTCCACATTTGGTCGGGTCACCTTTTTGTGACATGTGCACAAAAATGAATCCTTCCAATTGGTTGGTCAGATAGCTGTCTCCAAATTTCTTGGCCTAGATGAATGAGTGCCTTCAGTGTTAAGTCAGTTTGTTGAAACATTTCAGTTTGTATTCCATCAATTCCTGGAGTCTTGTTTTTCTTTGTGCTTTCAGTACATCTTAGACTTCTTCCTTCCATACCATTGGTTCTTGATGATATATATAATACCTCTTGAAATGACTGAACACCAGCATATTCTTTTTGGTACGGTGATTCTGTGTATATTACAACACAATGTGCAAAGATCTGGAGTCAGAAAACCAAAAAAGAAGAAAACGCTCAGCATTTCTCAAGCTGGGGGAACTGAAGAAAAAAATTCAAGGCTTGACATTCATTATTGAAGGATTCTCTGGGCAAATTATTGAATGATGCAGAAAGCATCAAAAGAAGATGGAAAGAATACACAGAGTTACTGCACTAAAAGGAAATGGTTGATATTCAGCCGTTTCAAGAAGTAGCATATGATCAAGAGCCAATAATACTGAAGGAAGAAGTCCAGGGTGCATTGAAGGAATTGGCAAAACCAGGAATCCATAGAATAAAAATTGAAATCTTTCAAGAAAGTGAGACAGCACACAAGGTACTCACTCATTTCTGCCAAGAAATTAGGAAGACAACTATCTGGCTGTCTGATTGGAAGTGATCCATATTTGTGCCCATTCCAAAGAGAGGTGACCCAACAGAATGCGGAAATCATTGGACAATCTCTTTGATATCCCATGCGAGTAAAGTTTTGCTGAAGGTAATACAGAAATGACTACAAGCATACATTGACAGAGAACTTCTAGAGGTTCAAGCCGGATTCAGAAGAGGACGTTGAATGAGGAATGTCATTGCTGATATCCGATGGATCTTTGGCTGAAAGCAGAGAATATCAGAAAGATGTTTACCTGTGCTTTATTGACTATGCAAAGGCTTTCAGTTGTGTGGATCATGATAAACTATGAACAACATTGCAAAGTATGAGTATTCTGGAACACTTAATTGTGTTCATGAGGAATCTGTACATGGACCAAGAGGAAGTTGTTCGAACAGAACATAGGAACACTGAATGTTTTAAAATTAAGAAAGGTGTGTGACAGGGTTATATTCTTTCACCATACTTATTCAACCTCTATGCTGAGCAAATAATCCGAGAAGCTGGGTTATATGAAGAAAAATGTGGCATCAGAATTGGAGGAATACTCATTAACAACCTGTGATGTGCAGATGATACAACCTTGTTTGCTGAAAGTGAAGAAGACTTAAATTATTTACTGATGAAGATTAAAGAGCAAAGCCTTTGGTATGGATTGCACCTCAACATAAAGAAAACAAAAATCCTCACCAATAAGCTAAACCAATAAACAACATTCTTATCGACAGAGAAAAGATTGAAGTTGTCAAGAACTTCATTTTTCTTGGATCAACCATCAACATTTATGGAAGCAGCAGCCAAGAAATCAAATGACATATTTCATTAGGCAAATCTGCTGCACAAAACCTTTTTAAAGTGTTGAAGAGCAAAGATGTCATCTTGAGGACTAAGGGGTGCCTGACCCAAGCCATGGTATTTTCAAAAACTCATATGATTGCGAAAGCTGGACAGTGAATAAGGAAGACCATAGAAGAATTGATGTATTTGAGTTATGGTGTTGGAGGAGGATATTGAAAGTTCCATGGGCTGCCAAAATAACCAATAGATCTGTGTTGGAAGAAGTATAGCCAGAGTGCTCCTTGGAGGCCAGGATGGCCAAACTTTGTCTCTCCTACTTTAGACGTTTTGTCAGGAGGGACCAATCATTGGAGAAGGATATCATGCTTGTTAAGTGGAGGATCAGAGAAAGAGGAAGACCCCCAGCAAGATGGATTGGCAAAGTGGCCGCATCAGTGGGCTCGAGCATGGCAACAGTAGTGAGGTTGGCCCAGAATCGGGCAGCGTTTCGTTCTGCTGTGCATAAGGTCGCTATGGGTCGATACAGACTCAATGGCACCTAACAACAACAACAAAGGGTCTGACTCATTTATTATTTCTCCTGTCATAGATACTGTGGGCTCTTGCAGATATCAAGTCATTTTCTCATGGGTCACAGGGTAGTTCCAATGATGGCATTAAATTCCATTCTGCCTTTTAAAAAATGTTTTATTTTGAAATATTACTCAACAGAATAATATATAAACTTCAAATATACAGTTGTTGTTAAGGCTGTAGAGTTGGTTCCAACTCACTGTGACAGGTGGGTTTGAATCACCAATCTTGCAGTTTAAAGTCCAGTGCTTATCCTACAACACCACCCCAGGGCTCCAAATATAGAGTATTTAATGTACAAATCTATCCCATTCTGTGACTGAACTTTTCACTCTACTAATAGTGTCTTCTGATGAATGTTAATTTACTAGCTTTATTTTAGTTACTTTATATTTCAGTTGATAATTTTATTTGGCATCTCTTCAAACCTACATATATCACTGTTTATTGTTGCCAGTTTCCTACCATGTCAGTATATATGGTGGTGGTGGTGGGTGTGTGCCATGGAGTTGGTTTTGACTCATAGCAACCTTGTATAAGGTTTCCCAGGCTGTAATCTTTATGGAAGCAGAAAGTCTCATCTTTTTCCCGTGGAACAGCTGGCAATTTCGAACTGCTGACCTTGAGGTTAGTAGCCCAACTTGTAGCCATTACACTACCAGAACCCCTTGTCAGTATATATACTCAGGGGGAAAAGGATTTGGGGTCCTTACTTTAGAATCAGGCCTAATAATGTTAGTTCTTCAACTCTTTTAAGAAGATTATTGTTTCAGTAGTGCTCCTTCAGAAGCCTATGTAGAACCACCCAGCCCACCATTCTTATTGAAACTAACTTCCTTACTTTATTTTAATCAATTCATTGGAGGCATCCAAGCACAAAATTCTTACTTCTTTCAGAAAATGATGGATATTTTTCCCCCTCAAATAGAAATATTTAAATGACGCAAGCCTTGTTGTTGTTAAGTGCCCTTGAATCGGTTCCGACCCATAGTGACCCTGAACAGGGTTTCCAAGGCTATAAATCTTTACAGGAGCAGAAAACCTCATCTTTCTCCCACAGAGAAGCTGGTTGTTTTGAACTGCTGACCTTGCAGTCCGCAGCCCAATTCGTAACCACTACGCTACAAGAAGCAAACCTCGTACCTGGTTAAAAGAGCTTTTGATCAAGAGCTTCCACTGATGTTACATATTTTTTCCCTAATCTATTTTAACTTTTAAGGAAAGTATGCATAGATTTTCTTGAGTATTATAGTTTATTAATCCCATTTCTTATTGCAATCTGGATTACTACTTAATGTATTATATCAGTGTTTACTACCTTTCCACACTTTCATCATAGCAACTTATAGAAGAGGCTCCAAACTGTACAATTGTATATTTGATATAGAAGTAAATAATTCAGTATTTGTCACATATTTACTCTGTATTCAGTGATGCTCACAGTGAAAGGGTTGTTCACCTGACATTCTTCAAAGGAACTGTGAATTAAGTCCCCTTAATCAATATTCTTGTTTTCCTCTAGTTATCTGAAAAACTGAACAAAGCTCGTACAGAGAACAAAGAGCTACGAGACAAACTAACTACTCTTGCCAGACAATATAAGATTGTCCTAAGTGAGGAGGAAGAGGTTTTTTTAAGGAAACGAAAGATCCAAGATGAGTATGTGTCTAGCCATGATCCATATGCTTATATGTAAACCAACATTGCATAGTTAGGAAATGCTTTCCTAACTCTTCAAAGTGATGATTCTCCATTTAAACTTATCCTACTTTGAAAAAGTACTGATAAAATTGAAATATTCTCTCCCTGAGATCTGTCTCCATAGGCATGAAGTAATGTTTTCCTCATCTGGATCAGATCAAATCTGTAATAATCAAAAACATTATTTTTGTTCCTAAATCAGATTCTTGAAAGAATAATTATGATTTTACTCTTTCTTATTTAATCCTCAGGAAATGGTAATAGTTCTAGGTCAATTTAAGTGAAATAAAGAAAATGTGGCCAGAATAAGGAAAAGTTAATTCACCAAATGTGTTTTAACACTTAATAAGATGGATACTACTATGCTATTCCACCACTCTTCTGTCAGTTTGTCATACTGTGGTGGCTTGTGAGTTGTTGTGACTCTGAAAGCTCTGCCACTGGTATATTAAATACCAGCAGGGTCACCGATGGTGACCAGTTTCAGATGAGCTTCCAGACGAAGACAAATGAGGAAGAAGGAGAGATGAACTACTTCTAAATATTTAACCTCTAAAAACCTTATAAATAGCAGAGAAACACACTGTCAGATATAGTGCCGGGAAATGAGCCCCTTAGGTTGGAAGGCACTCAAAGTGCAACTGGGGAAGAGATGCCTCCTCAAAGTAGAATTGACCGTGATGATGTGAATGGAGGAAAGCCCATGGGAGTAAAGCCCACAAGGCCTTCATTTGCTGATGGGGCACAACTCAAAATGAAGAGAAACAGCTGTTCCATTAATAATTGGAACATGGGATGTATGAAGTATGAATCTGGGAAAATTGGAAATTGTCAAAAATGAAACTGAACACATAAACATCGATATCTTAAGCATTCATGAGCTAAAATGGATTGGTATTGGCCATTTTGAATCTGCCAACCACATGGTTTACTATGCCGGGAATGACAAATTGAAGAGGAATGGTGTTGCATTCATCGTCAAAAAGAACATATCCAGATCAGTCATGAGGTACAATGCTTTCTGTGATAAGATTATATCGATGCACCTACAGGGAAGACCAGTTAATACGACTATTATTCAAATTTATGCACCAACCACTCAAGCCAGTGGGGATGAAATAGAAGAATTCTACCAACTTCTTCAATCTGAAATTGATCAAACATGCAATCAAGATGTATTAATCATTACTGGTGATTGGAATGCAAAGATTGGAAACAAAGAGGAAGGGTCAGTAGTTGGAAAAAATGACTTTGGTGATAGAAATGATGCTGGAGAATGCATGATAGAATTCTGCAAAACCATTTCAAATACCTTTCTTAAACAGCATAAGAGACAACTATACACATGGACCTTGACAGATGGAATACATAGAAATCAAATTGACTACATCTGTAGAAAGAGACAATGGAAAAGCTTCATATCATCAGCCCAAACAAGGCCAAGGGCACATTGTAGAACAGACCATCAATTGCTCATATGCAAATTCATACTGAAGCTGAAGAAAATGAAAACAAGCCCACGAGAGCCAAATTATAACCTTGAATATATCCCACCTGAATTTAGAGATCATCTGAAGAATAGATTTGATACATTAAACACTAAAGATGGAAGACCAGAAGAGTTGTGGGATGACATCAAGAACATCATACATGAAGAAAGCAAAAAGTCATTAAGAAGAAAAGAAAGAAAGAAAAGATCAAATGGATGTCAGAAGAGACTCTGAAACTTGCTCTCCAGCATAGATATGCTAAAGCAAATGGAAGAAATGAGGAGGTCCAAGAGCTGAATAGAAAATTTCAAAGGTCAGCTTAATAAGACAAAGTCAAATATTACAACAAAATGTGAAAAAATCTGGAGTTAGAAAACCAAAAGGAAGAACATGCTCAGCATTTCTCAAGCTGTGGGATCTGAAGAAAAAATTTAAGCCTTGACTTTCATTATTGAAGGATTCTCTGGGCAGATTATTAAATGATAAATAAAGCATCAAACAAAGATGGAAGAATGTAAAGGTAGACATTTTGTAACAAATGGAGTTTGGGATCCTATCCAGAGAAGCAGTGACACCAGAGATGGAGGCAGAGATGATGATATGGGGAGGAGATGGAGCAGCTGGGGACTCTGGACTCGGAGAGAGAGGGTCTGTGTGTTGGTATTGCAGGTGTACCCTTTGGCTATTGGATGATGCATGCAGGGAATTATAGTCATTACAATGAAACAAAATAAGATAGGATGAATGTAAATCTAATGTTCTTCCATGTAAACTATTCACAAAATTCACAATAAAAACTTTAAAAAAAAAAAAAAATGTAAGGAATACACAGATTCACTGTACCAAAAGAAAATGGTTTGTATTCAACAGTTTCAAGAAGTAGCATATGAGTAAGAGCCAGTGGTACTGAAGGAAGAAGTCCAAGGTACATTTAAAGAATTGGCACTGGGAAACGATGGAATACAAATTGAAATCTTTCAACAAAGTGAGGCGACACTGGAAGCACTCATTCATCTCTGCCAAGAAATTTGGAAGACAACTATCTGGCTGACTGATTGGAAAAGATCCGATTTGTGCCATTTCCTAAGAGACATTACCCAACAGAATGTGGAAATTATCAGACAATATCTTTGATATCCCATGCAAGTAAAGTTTTACTGAAGTTAATACAGAAATGCCTGCAAGCATACATTGACAGAGAACTTCCAGAGGTTCAATCCAGATTCAGAAGAGGACATGGAATGAAAAATATCATTGCTGACATCAGATGAATCTTGGCTGAAAACAGAGAATACCAGAAAAATGTTTACCTTTTACACATAAAAGGTAACTATCAATAAACTATCTTTAATACCAATAAATATGCTTTATTGACTACACAAAGGCCTTCAATTGTGTGGATCATGATATGCTATAGACAACATTGCGAAGTGTGAATATTCCGGTATACTTAATTGTGTTCATGAGGAACCTGTACATAGACCAAGAGGCAGTTGTTCAAGTAAAACATGGGAAAACTGAATGGTTTAATATTAGGAAAGGTGTGTGACAGGGTTGTATTATTTCACCATACTTATTCAACCTGTATGCTGAGCACATAATCCGAGAAGCTGGGTTATATGAAGAAAAATGTGGCATCAGAATTGGAGGAAGACTCGTTGGCAACCTGCGATATGCAGATGATACAACCTTGCTTGCTGAAAGTGAAGAGAACTTAAAATATTTACTGATGAATATAAAAAAACCATAGCCTTCGGTATGGATTGCATCTCAATGTAAAGAAAACAAAAATCCTCATCACTGGACCAATAAACAACATTCTTATCAATGGACAAAAGATTGAAGTTGTCGAGGACTTCATTTTTCTTGGATCAACCAAGAAATCAAATGATGTATTGCATTAGGCAAATCTGCTTCACAAGACCTTTTTAAAGTGTTGAAGAGCAAAGATGTCAGCTTGAGGACCAAGGTACGCCTGACCCAAGCCATGGTATTTTCAATAACCTCATATGCATGCGAAAGCCGGACAGTGAATAAAGAAAATCGTAGAAGAAATTATTTTTTGAATTATGGTGTTGGAGGAGAATATTGAAAGTACCATGGGCTGCCAAAAGAGCAAACAGGTCTGCGCTGGAAGAATTACAGCCAGAGTGTTTTTTGGAGGCCAGGATGGCCAGACTTCGTCTCTTATACCTCAGACATATTGTCAGGAGGGACCAGTCATTGGAGAGGGATATTATGTTTTGTAAGATGGAGGGTCAGAGAGAAAGAGGAAGACCCCCAGTGAGATGGATTGGCAAAGTGGCAGCATCAATGGGCTCAAGCATGGCAACAATTGTGAGGTTGGCCCGGACCGGGGAGTTTTTTAATTTTTGTGTACAGGGGTGCTATTTGTCGGTACCGACTTGATGGCACCTGTCCACAACAACAACTATGCTGTTAAGTACTAGAAGTCCTTCTAAAAACAGATTCAAAATAATGACATTAATATATTTTCTATGGATTGACTGTGTCGTCCAAAAATATGTGTCATAAATCCTAACTTGTATACCTGTGGTTATAATTCCACCTGGGAATGAATTGCTTTGTTCTGTTAATGAGACAAAAGTAGTGTAAATTTTCTTGAGTCATCTTTTTTTTGAGATATGAAAGAGACTTAACAAGCCAGTGAATGAGTAGAGATGGGGTAAAATAGATACCAAGACATAGGGAGTTCTCCAAGGAATTAGGAAGCAGAAGAGATAACTAGAGCTAACAGAGAGAGAAAGTCTTCCTCAAGAATCAGCTGCCTGAATTTGAACTTCTAAGCTCCTAAACTGTGAGAAAATGAATTTCTGTTTATTAAAGCTACCCTTTAGGGGCTTTTTTGTTATAAAAAGACAATAACTAAGACCATATGATTCCCTTTATTCAACAAATACTGAGCCTTTCATCAAAGTGGTTGGTTGGCTAAGAGGTAGAGGAAACACATAAGATTTAACCAACACAACCCGTCTCAATTATTTTAGAACTGTTGTATATAGAAATTACACTATAATGTTCCTATACTTATAGTAGCTATCCTCAAATTTTATTGCAATTGTTTTCAAGAACGACATTATTCTTTGTGGTCTTTGCGATTACACTATACATAAGCAGTTTACCATCTGAGCATATCCTCTTTTCCTTACATTCAGCTGATGCTTCCTTATTTCTTAGAACATATGAAACTCTTAGGTAGGAATTCCCTCAACTCTGAACTTAAACCTCCAGTGTAAGAATCTAATAATTTACCTTGATCGTTCATTCCTGATTTGGATAAGAAATGTTATATGAGAGGGCATCAAAATTTTTGTGTAAAAATTTAATGAAAAGATAATGACGGTTTTCTACGAACTTTCTGAAGCCCCCTCCTATTCTCAGATTGCATCTAAGCAAACTTTTATATGGCCTTATAGCTCAATTATAGTTGTTAGCTTCCCCTTTCTT